CAAAATGTTAATAAAATAAAATAAAAATCCCCTTTTCCTTTCCCCTCCCCTAACCTTTTCTGAGAGAGTTGATTTTTCTTTTAATTTGGGGCGTATTTTTAGCTGGGTGTCTTCTCTGCTTCATCTCCTGCAGGCCTGTGCCCAGGGAGATAAATGTAGCGAGTGGTGTTCTCAGAGAGGTGACCCCACCAGTGTCCCTATCCCCAGATGAATGACCTGAGCCCTGTAAACAGGCAGCAGGTGGGGGAGAAAGAGGGTCTGCAGTCCCAGTCCTGAGCTGTTGTCACCCATGGCCACTGGCCCTCTAGCCCTGACCTCTACTCTCCGGCAGACCCCTCATTTTTATTAGAAAACTCAGGCTAGTTAGTCTTCAAGGTTCTGTGGAGGCTTCCTCACCTCCTGTCTCTTCCAGCTGCTCTCGACCCTTCTGGCCTGGCTGCTGTTTGCCCAGGGCACTACTAGCTCCTCCATCTTTCTAGCTCACCTGCACACTGGCCACTGGGAACAAAGTTGAGGTCACTGGTTCTGAGAAGACCTTGCACAGCTAGTGCGGCAGAACAAGACAGCCCCTTCCTGGTGTCTGGTTTTCCCCAGTCCTGGGAGAGGCCCTGCAGCAGTGTGCTCAGCCGCTCCACTGGCTCACCTCAGCAGCTGGGTCAGTTTTGTTTGCATTTTAACAGAAACCTTTAGAAAAAGAAAACAAATTTGTTTACCTTGTAGGAGATGAAAATGGGCAGGTGTAGCAGCCTGAGGCCATTCTTTTCAGCTGCCAAGTGGTGAAATGGAGCTTTATTAATCAATAAGGTTTAGCTCACTTGTTCTTTTCTTTTAAAAAGACCCTACCCTGGAGAAGTCTTTGGCCCAGCTTGTATAGTGAGGTAGCTAGCAGGCAGCGCGCTCGCTAGAACTATATGGAGATGTGGGGAAGGAGATTCATGATGGGTAGGGAGTTTGCCTGGCTTTGAGCACAGTGGTGTTCTGTTGCCTTTGACTGGTGAGCTGTTACACAGGTGAGACAGCTGAGGGCCTGTCAGGATGAAGTGATGCCTGGCCTCTGTCAGGAGCCTATCTCCTGCTTACATCTGGAGAGCTCCTGTGTCTCTTATCCCGCTGCTTTTTGCTAAAACTAGCGAATGGGTGTCATACTTAAGTAAACAGGCCTTAGTTTTATTTTCTATCAGTAATATATTTACATCATCATTGCTAACAACTGTGGTGAGAGAGGGCTGGTGGATCTTGAAAATGGCCAAGTGGCAGGGGTGAACTAATAGAGTATGTGAATGCAAAGTGCTTGTGGTGTCACATAATGCAAACAGACACCCTAACTCAGAGAAGATCTCCAGCTTTATAAATGGACTAATTCTTCCAAAGGCAGCGGACTTGCAAGGAGGACTTGCATGGCAGGGGGAGGACGGGAGCAGGCTTGCAGCCACAGGACAGCGAGCCCTTCACGCCATCCCTCTGCTCTGTACAGCCCTTGCTCAGTCCCTCTGTGGTTAGATTATTCTTTGCAGATAGCAATCAACTGGAAGGAAGTGTGTGTGTCTAATTTGCATGAGATTATTTAAAACAAAAAAAAAAAAGGTCTGCATTAGTCAGGGTGATGGTAAACAACGCAAAGAGATGCCTTTTATAATATAGCTCAGCTTTCAGAGCCAAATATAATTCACTTACAATTGGCAGTTTCCTTTATTATTCCTTTTAACCTTTTGGATTCTGCAAGGTCTCCATCGGAGGCTCTCTGAGATCTTCATTGTTTATCTGAGCACAGGGGTGGGTGGAAGGATGAAACTTGGGAACCTGGATGTCTTATGTGTGTTCCCATGGCAATTGTTTTTGCACCAGGGCTCAATGAGAGTCCCAAAGGTGGTCAGAGCTACCTAATCTGGAGATAGCCCGGAAGGAGATGTTAGGAAAGCACGGTCTCCAGTCTGTAAGAGGCATGTGGGTCTGATTTGGAAATACAGTATTAGAAGAACAGCCCCCTCATTACTCGGGTAGTGCTGTAAAAGTTATCCAGGGATGAACTGTCTGAAATGAATATATGATTATGCATTATATGCATGAGAACAGTCTGGAACAAGGGGTGGCCTTGGAGAGGGAAGGGCTGGGGAAGAGAAAATATGCAACAATGAATAAATAAAAGAAAAAACAAAAATAAAAGTTACCCAGTGGTGTTCCTGTGCGGGGCCACTCGTTCCCTTCCCATGATGTTTTCCCAAACAATATCCATTTGTTCCGTGCTGTAGATTGAGGTTCCTGGGCTAGTGGTGGGAGAAGAAAATGTAGTCCTTATCAAGCGCTTTCATAAAGATTGAAGACTTAGGACATAATTCCTGAATCTGTCATCTGATACCTTATACCTCTGAGGGAGATGGAGAGCCTGGGTTGTCGTTGGCATGACTAGTCTGTAACTACTGCGATTCGGGGCATGTTTTTCTCCCTCCTCGGCTCTCAGTTTTTTATCTCTTAAATGAGGGGATGGTTGGGATAATGGTCCAGCTCAGAAATTCTATTATTCAGTGAGATAGTTAGGATGTCTTTTTTTTTTTTTAAAAAAAAAAAAAGAAAAAGAAGAAAAATGATTCATTTTCTGTAACTAAATCAAAATCTTGACTCTGCCAGCGAATGAGGGTTATCAGAGTTCTAGCCAGTGTAAATTTAGAGCATCAAATGATAAGGTCCCTAAAAAACAAGAGCTTGAGAGGAAGTGCTGATGCCCTTTCAGCCAGGGCTCAGTTGTGGGCTCGGCTGCAATAATGTACAGAACATGTTTTATTAGGAAAATAGACTCTGTAAGAGCTGAGGGCCAGAGGGCAGAACAGGGGCCAGGAGATCTGTCCCTTTAACCAGCTCCTACTCTCATGGCTTCAGCACAGTCTGTAACTTAGTGTATATTTCCCCAGCGTTAAACATTATCAGACTTGTTTATATTTGAAAGAGCCAAAAGGGAAAATGAGAATGCAACTGAATGCTCCTTTTGGGAAAATTATCCTCATTTGCAGCCAGTGGCTGACAAGGCACACGAGCCACCAGTTTATAAAATCCCGTCGTGTATGAGTGACCATCAGCCTGTGCTGACGTCGCAGGTGTCACTGTCCTCTCTAATGGCCGATTACAAACTGGTTACAATGCTGTCTTTCCTACAAGGTCTCGGAAGAGGGTTCCCTTTCCTATTTAGTAGGCGTGATTGACAGTCACTATGGAGGCACACACTCAGGGGGACATGGCTTCAGTGTTTCCTGGTTTGCCTCTTGGTCCTGCCCCTGTTCTCTTTGGGCAGTGAATTGACAGGCCAAGCAGTCCCTTTGCAGCCAGCTAGAGAATTAGGGAGAAGAAAAGCAAGCCCCCTGTCCAGTCCCCGTATGCCCATGTTTAGCTTTTGTTTCAAAAGCATTAAGTACAAGTGATGCTTTGAGCCTTGGGAGCATCTCCTCAGCCGCCTCTCAGTCTGAGAGTGTGATGCTGTCAGGGCAGCCCAGCAATACTTCTGACAATGCAGAGGTGCGACCTTCCCCACACTGGGCACCTCCACCATGACAAGTGGGCAATGGGCACAAGCTCCAGTTTCAAATGGGAATAGATCCCAACTTCTCAGTGCAAGAATAGAGAAAAGTACCTAGACCATTCGGTGTAGTCAGTTGCCCCTGCCCAATTGTGTGGGGGCCTGAAAAAGTCACCTCCCGCCAATACATTGCAGGGCTGAGCTGTGTGCTCCGGCGTTAATGTGTACCATCTATTAGCCCCGTGGCACTGCGTGTGAGGCACCATGCTTTTGAAGATGCTGATCCTCAGAACCTCCTTGTACTTCATCTACCCCCAGGGGCAAATATACCATGCTGTGGACCTCTAATGGAGAGCTGCCGACCAGATGTGGAAAAACTCTCGACTCGAGTTTAAAAGCTCCATGTTGTGGCTGTACTGGAGGTTGGGATTCCCGGTACAGCATGGGATTGGCCCAGGCCAGCTGGAATGGTCTTTTCCAGCCTGGCATGATCTCCCACCCACCCGTGGCCAGAAGGCCTTTGGACCCTTTGAGTTCTTTTCTGGAATGGCCTTGGTGGGGAGTTTTCCTCACACCTATGAGCCACACCTGTTCTTTGGGTTGGCCGGGGTTCCCCAGAGTCATTGTCCCCAGCCTGCCCCAGACCCACTGAAACTATTCCAGCTGTGTGCCCACTGGAAATGCGGTCTTCACGCGTTTCTCACTTGTCTTTCATTCCTGCATGGGCAAATCCTCTCCACATGTTCTAGCCACTGCAGATGGCGCCCTGTGATTTCCTGATGTCCCACGTGCAGTGTGGCTCTGAGTGTGGGGAGGCTGGGGGAAAAAAGGGGAAAAGAAAAAACTAGCCAAAGGCTATATAGTCAGCCTATGATAGGCTAGAGCAATAATCATCTGAAAGTTTGGGCCTGGCCTTGTTTTGATCTGTTTTCTTGTTTTATTTTCTTCTTTACATTCTGTATCCCATTCATACTAATCACAGTCAGTCCTGATTTTTCTTTTTATTTCTGCATTTGTCATAAAATAAAGCAAATTATTCCCGTCTTCGGAAACAATCTAGACTAATTAGTCGTCTCACCCAATAATTAGTTTTTTGTTTCCCTGTCTGTTTTCATGCATTATTGTTAGTTTTTCCCCCTCTTTTTTTAACACCATTACAGATTAAAATGAGCCACATTTGCAGTTGATGGTATCTGTTTTCAGGGGAAGAATGGAGAATTGCAGTACAGAGTGACTTCAAAAGCAGCAATAAACTCAAGGATAAATTAAGGAAATTGAATGAGCCACATTTGGAAGCAGTGTTGAGGCTAATATTCTGTAGCTTAAGGTTAAATTGCAACTGAGAGAGGTTCCGGAGAATCCGAAATCAAGGAGGCAACTTCCCAGGGTGCTAGGCATTCTGTGACTGAATGGGGTCTTTTCTCGGTGAAGATTTTGTTATAGCCATGGACAGTGGAGAAAGGTACTCATCTGTGATTATGTCCTCTTCCTCCAGGGCTGACGGATGAAGAGATTGATCTGGCCTTCCAGCAGTCAGGCACTGCTGCCGAGGAGCCTTCAGCCTTGGGCCCAGCCACGCAGGTGGTTCCCGTGCAGCCCCCTCACCTCCTTCCTCAGCCATACAGTAAGTCCCCTGCTCCAACTCCCACTTTAATCTTAGTAGGCATTCAGGGCTGTAACCAGAGAGGAATACTTCATGTCTCCCAAACTCCAGCAAGCCAGGAAAAGCAGGGAGCCTTGGCTTTGGGTTTTCCAAAAGAAGGTGACAAACTCAGTCTTCTGTATAAATTTTTAAAAGTATGTGACAGAGTTTTAAGAAGAGACAAGGGACCAGAATAAATGAGTCTCATTGTATTGTTTCAGAATATTTTGGTTACATGCAAGGAGCTATGGAAGTTTTTATTGGGCTTATTTTTATTTTCTTGTGCTAGTGCTTTTGAATGTTGCTGTTTTTCCTGCTGGGAACATGGGCATCTCACTCTTGAGTGCATTCTCCTGTGCTCACTGAAATAACTACTCCTGATTTTACTTATTGAAGTTACTATTATCAGGTTATAGTTAGCCTTCCTCTCCCTCATTCCCTTCTAGTCTCCCACCTCATCCTCCCTCACTCCTTCACCTCAAGAACCCGTTGACCTTCATTGAGTTGACTCTGACTCCTAGAGACCCTGTAAGACAGAGTAAAACTGCCCTGAAAAGTTTCCAGGGTTGCTGCTAGACTAAAGCACTGCCACGTTGCTTCCTTGGAGCAGATGATGGGTTTGAACCATAGACCTCTCGGTTAGCACATACAGTAGGAGTCTCGTAAAGACTAGAATAGTTTAGACTAAAATCTAAAGCTCCTTTCTGAATGTAACTTAATTATACAAGTCCATGACCCAAGAGGGATTTTGTTTTGTTTGCAAATGAAGAGCCCTTTTGGAATAAAATTTATTCATGCTGGTAATAAATGTACATAAAATACAGCTAGAATCTCCTCTTTAAATCACTTTTTTTAAGAAGGCTAAAAGAATAAACTCCAAACCTATGAAAAACAGTTCACTTTTTTTTTAACATAATTCAGCACTGCAATCTGTTCTTTTAAAATGCCTTTTCTTATAATTCTCTTAATTTTAATTGTGTATCTCAGAAGTAATTTTAAAAAAATGATTGAAAATGATATTAAGTATTTTAAACAATGTTTTAAAACAAGTTTCATTTTTATTTCCCTAACTGGTCTAAAGCTACCTTTTTACTCTTCATTTGGACAAAAGTTAGTCACAGTTAACATTACAGGGGAACAAGCAAGACCTTCTGCTCGCCAGCCTGCCCGAAAGCCAGGCACAGGGGCAGAATGGGCTTTGTGTGCCATAGATAGCAGTCAGATAGCTCTTTTCTTTTACTTTCAGGGTAAGACTGGATGACTACAGTTTATCTCATCCAGCCATGCGTTGCTAACAGACCCATTGATGTTATCAAGACTTTTCAGGCCAGAGAAAGAGAGTTTCAATGTTGAGCTTTGTGTTTGAACCACCAAATCTGCATTAGCAGCTACTTGCTGTCTTAGAACTCACTTGTCCTCCATGGCTAGCAAACATTCTTTCCAACTCCACAGTGTGTGCCTTGGGTCACTAAACATTCTTTATGTATTTCTCTTTAATCAAAGGTGAAGCCTCCACACTTTTTCTTCAGTTGTGTCCCCTGGCCCAGCCATTTAATGGGGTGTGCTGAGGATAGGCAGTGGCAGCTGGGGTGCAGAGTTTTCTAAGATGCACATCTGTTCTGTTCCAGCTGTTTCCTCCCATGACTTAATACCAAACAGGTCTCTTGGCTACTTGGAAACTTCCTGCTCAGAACAAATTATTCTGGTTGGTGCCCGAGTTGGGCTCCCCATGATAGAGTGCCTTTTTTCAGTGGCAACAAAGGGTTAAATTGTTAGACTTTAAGAAAAAGGCCAAAGAATAGGGGTGGGGAAGGTAGTAAGGGTGCTGTTCAGTCATTTAAACCACCTCAGGCCCAAATCTCACTGAAAACAAGCATTTGCACTTTTAAGTATTTAGGTAGGAGTATTTTTAAGAGTCTCCCAGCCCTAAAAATAAAATACATCTTCTTAGAGACAGACTCCTTCCTGCTTTGACACTAGTATAAAAACAATGGTAATGGTAATTTGAAATACCTGAAGTTTTCAGTTGTCACCCTGTAGCTTCATTCTTCTCCTACTGTTACATTGCTCCTTTCAGCTCCGGGGACGACTACCTCTTCACTCCTGTACTTTTGCCAAGAGGTGTCAAAACTGCTTAAAAAAAAAAAAAAAAAAAAAAGCTTGATTTTGATTAATATAGAGAAACAAGACTTTGCCTGACTGATAATAAAACTGATAAATGACATTTGAATTACTTGTAGTGGTAATTTATTACATAAAATATCTTTTATTTGACATGCGATTAGTTGCTGGAAGCATCACTCAATCTGACTAGTTTAAACATGCTCTAAAATGAACCCCAGTAAAAACCAGGGCTGTCTGCTGCTGGCGTTATGAAATATACTAATCCTGGAGTGAGGAAAAAAATCTGACTTTAAATATTTAAATGATTAATTGGGTTTATATATTTTTTTTTACCTTTCTAACCCCCTTAATTACAAGCAAACTCAGGGGAGTTTCTGAACTAGGTGTGCAATCTGCATGCTTATCACTGAGGCATTGTCTGCGTCCCACAAGGGATTTATGGCCTCCACTCATGTGTGTTCCTGCCGATTTTATAGCGAGATCCCAGCCGCCCTTACCTTCCCCATTTCTTGGCTTTTCAAGAGAATCCCAAGCCTAGAAAATAGAATTCCCTGGACTCAGCCCCAGGGTTCACATTTCAGGGAGAGCTCTTCCTATCTTGGTGCTGGTGCAGTACAAACACCACATGTTGGTGGCCTTCAAGAGCAGAAATTTCTTGTCCTCACAGAAGGGAAAGCTGAAAGTCCAAAGAGGGGGCTCAGCTATGCTGATTCCTTCTTTATTGGTATTCTCTGGTCTTTGGGGATCCTCACATAGCATCAGTCTTCGTCACTGTGTGCTCACATGTCTCTGTGTCTATGCTGATCTTTATGTAACTCAGGAGTGATTAGGTTCAGGATTCACCCTACCCTGGTAAAAGAAGGAAAGGTGTGGTGACCTTCTGTCACTGATGTTACAGCCAGGAAAGCCCTTGAAGCAGTTCTGGGTACTACATGGATCACCAGGAGTCAGAATGCACTCAGCAGCAACCAGAAAGCACACAACTATAAAATCAAATGATTGCTTACATTACATCAGATTGTGTTTGGGAAGATGATCATAGTATAGTAGGTGAGCTCATCCCATTTGTACATATGGGATGAGAGAGCCACAATTCATTTACCAGGCACTATTCCTGAACACACTCCAGGAGTCAGAGGTCTCTATCTCTGTATTTACTGACCAGCTCAGGGCAGCCGTTTGCTCTATTCCACTTTCACTCTGTCTGCTTTTGGTGAATATAGTTATCTTGCGGATGTCAGTATTTGTGACCAGGAGCATATGAAGACCTACCTCAGTGGTACCAGTGCATATATATCATCAGGGTTCTTTAAGCCCCACTGTGCTCTCATTGAAAACCTGACTGAAGGTCAGTCACTCTGAACCGACTCACTGGCAATGACTTGTGCTCTGTGGTTTGGTTTGTTGCTTTTTTTTTCCTTTTTAAGTTGAATGTGAGATTCAAAGCTTGTTACTGGTCCCCAAGAATCTTACAAGCTCTTTGGAAAAGATAAGATAAACTCTTAAGAAAAGATTAATAATAAAAGACATTGTGATTTTATGCCAAAATTAATTATACAGACAAGAAATTCCATAAGAATACAAAAAAGAGAAAAATTAATGTGGGCTTGAGAAGTCAGGGAAGGCTTTGTGAAAGTGCTCCGAGGTTGACACCTTGGGGGAGCTTAGTGTCACTGGTGTGGGAATAAACACGTGTTCTCTGGGCTTCAGAGAAAGTCAGGAGACCTTAGGAACGGGTTGTGATCTGAGAGATTCTGCATTCTCAGATGTTCGTTCTGGCTTCCTTTTGTTCCATTAGGAGTCGGGCTAGGTATGTGTGTATTCCTGAACCTGAGTCCTTACAAGTGCTTGATTGATCTGTCTGCTCCAGACTGATTGTTCTTCTGTCTTCCCAGAGAGACAACGAGCAATGTGCAACCTTGGGGTTTGGGCAAGGCCAGTGTAGATTTTGTAGCCTGGCCTTTCTTCTTAGACTTGAAGATAGTCTTTGGGAAGTCTCATAGGCCCTTTCAAAGACTGGCCTATTCCGTGTGCTTCAGTAGCCTGTTCTTAAGGTAGGATATAAATGCTTTTGGGTAGGGAAGGACTTGGAAGCATTTGGTTAGAAACCCTGAGAAAGAGAAGAGAGATTTCTCATTTTGCTCCTTTCATTACCTCTTTTCTAGTAAACCTGGATTATCTTCCCTGAGCAAGGGTCTGTTGACTGTTTCCTCTGTGCCATGCACAGTGCAAGACTCTAGGCATAACCATATGAATAAGGGCCAGTTGGTGTTTCAAGTTGATCCAGGCTAGTAGGAAGGGCGATTGTGTGGCCACAGCAGTGCACCTGAGGGGTGTAGAGATGCGAAGGGTGACACCAAGGAAGCCACAGGCAGCTTTCGAGGACAGGAAATGTTTAATGGATCTGCAGAGATGCTTGGCACAGTGATCAGACGGGTAAATAAGAGCACTCCAGGCTAAGGCACATGGAAATGAAATAGTGTGATAAGTTACGAAGCTTCAAAATGTTCAGAGTGACTGATGAGTGGGATGGGAGTGTCATGAAAACAGTTCATCACCCAACTGGAGGGCAATACATATATGTTGGTTGAATGTTTACTTTTAACTATATCATATCGTCTTTGAGCCTCTGTTACCTACTTGACCATATTCTTCTCATTGTTGTGAGTTGCCATTGAGTTGATCCAACTCATGGAGAGACTCTTTTATGTACAGAGTAAAACTCCTCCACTGGGTTTTCAAGGCTGTGACCTTTCAGAAATCACCAGATGAGTCTTCCTTGGTGCCTCTAGACAGGCTCATACTGCCAGTCCCATGGCTGGTAATCAAGTGCTTAACTGTTGTGCCACCCAGAGACT